TTTGTGATTATTAAGTAAATCTAAAGGTCCGAAATCTCTTGTTACCTTACAAAAAGCACATTGGGAACGCGGGAATATACATTTTAAACATTGTAAAATAATTATTGTTATTATATAGTTATAAACCGTAACATGTGAGTGTTGTTTAGAGAATGCATTGAAAAAGGAAATAATCCGCGATGCTTCGTGGATAATGTCACAAAACCTTGGTTAACAACAAGAAATGAGTATTCATTTTCTAGAGCAAAATAGCTCAAAAGACAAGAAATCTTATGATACATGTAACCATTCTAAATAGGGCTTCGTTTTTAGAAAACAAATCAAATAAAATTGAAACTATGTGATATTTTAATGTGACACTTAAATGTATTGATAATGCACGAACTGTATAAAATCATACAAACCATATCGAAATTATTTAAGAGGATATCAAGGCATAACCTAAAATGTCTCGAAATCAAATTAAATATGAAATGTTGGAAAAGGGAAACAAGCAAAGCAAAAGACAAGCAAAGTTCGAGGAACGCTGTCCCGTTTTAATCATAGGTGAAGACAGTTGTACTAGAAAGGGATGAAGAAAATTTAGAACCAGGCACCTACACATCCGTGAAGTCTGGCCAGGCTCTTAATTGTTGAAAGTTCATTTTGTTGCATTTTGACATTTAAACCCCTTTAGTTTTGGGTAAATTATTACAGTTCAAAAGCTGGTCAATTTCAGAATACTAGATTCAACAGGTTAAGGGTTAAGGGTTAACAACGATATTTGTGGCAGTTCTGTGGTATAAAGATAAAAGAAAACTCAGATCGCCTCTCGAATGTTTACAACGAGAATGTTTACAACAAGAGATATAGCAATCATTTACAAATATATATTTTAAAATGTCTAAAATTCTTGAAGCTATTGTTTTAGTCAGGGTTTTAGCAGACAATGAACTATATTTATCATGTTGTTATGTAATAATGATGGTGGCTGATTTGGTACATATTTGTATCAAATTTCTGTACTTGTAAAACTTGTATATAAAACTTGAATGTCTGCCAGTTTGCGCAAATAAACGTTGTTTACAGCTTCTTCCATAGGAATGCATCCAACCATTCAGACCCCGCCTTGTCTTTCCGTTATGTCTTATCTAAACTTACGAATTTAAGTACTAGTGTTCCAATTTATTTTCCCTCTATTCGGTGTTTCCTTCTTTTCATTTTGGTCTTTGCAACCTTTCCATTTTTCTACATTTCCTACCATGACATCGTTCATTACTCATGATCAAACATTAGCTCCCTGTTAGTTAATATTTGTAATATCCTACGCGTCGTTTATTTTCCTCTCTCTATTTGGTACCCGTTTAGACGCTGTTGTTTCGGAATATTGTGGGGACCCGTGAATGTTGCTCTCCAATACATTTGTAATTCATATCTAATTTGTTTCTAAACATTTTAAGCCACGCATTAATATGTTCTTTACAAGACAAGCATACGAAGCCTATATGTCTTAAAACAAATTAGATTTGATACATCTCGCGCCTCATTATAGCATTCAAATGTCACAGTAAAGTATCACATTCTTCCAAGCTCAATTAATTTGCTTTCTGATTACAAAGCTCTATTAATTATTTCTGAAAGACATTTATTTGGATTGTCCTTGTAAAGATTTGCTTCCTTGGAAATCAAATTGAGGAAATATTTCATTTTTCAAAATGTATTCTATGAAGTAAAATATTAAACATTTTCTATATTGAATTTCTTGCTTATCATGTCAGTGATAACTGCTTAAAAAGTTATACAAAACGTTGTAATAGTTTTTTTTATACGCGGATAACTCACATCTAGTAATAGGTAAAATGTATACAAACAAACTTTAAGTTCAATTGGTTGACCGTCACTCTGACTATCCCAAACCAACCAGGTAATTATTAACCATACATTTAACTGCGAGGTGCATGAAAAGAAATAATAGAAATTTTAAACTTCCAAGATGCTATGAGCGAAAAACAATTCATAAAATGCAATGGAGAGACTCATACTTAGAGTTCTTGTTTGTGAATTATTTTGCTCTGTAAGAGAAATGAACATTAAATGTGGTTTTACAAAGGTTTTGTGACATTTCTTTCATGCATCGTCAGTTTCTAGTCTAACTGCATTTCGGTATGTATTGCAAAAACGAACAGTTTTGTAAACGGTTTATATCTATATTTTGTAATAAAATAATAACTTAGGACGTAGTTAAACGATTGTAATGATAACAACATATTTGTCTCCTCTTGCCTTTTCTCAAGAAACCGGAGATTTCAGGTTGATTGATTTACCTGATTATTTCAGACGATATCCTACAGCATTTCAAATTATTACGAAATTAAATTGCCATTTACGTTTATCTAAATTGGTAACAAATTCTTAGAAATAACACATCGATTGCCTTCAAATGAGATAAAAATTGGTAAGCTTTCCAGACGAAAACAGTCATTGTTTTATTTGATGTGTCTTGTAGAATTAATATGCAGTTGTTCCAGAGACGGTATCATTATTTCATATCAAAATTCCATTTCCTGATATTCGTAAAATCTAAAATAATATACCATACCCTAAAATTAATATTTTGTGTATCCAAAAGAAAGGGAATCTTCGGTCAATTTCCATTCGAGCTCCATATTATTTGTTTAACAAAATGAAGTTGTTAAATACAAACAAAACAAAACTCGCCAATGGCCCGAAACGTCACTCGAATAAAAAGCATAAGATAAAAAAATCAATTATGGTAAAATGATCAGTAAGTACTTGAATCGTTTAACTTGTCAACTGTACAATGTTATAAAAACATGGTCTCGTCTATTCATCTTAAGATTATATGGTTTGTCATAAGGTTTCTGTGTTAGTCAAACTTACCCAAAAAGCATATTTTGTCCAAACAAGTTTATTCTTTAATGTACTGTAATGTTATGTAATTTGCTATTTACACATAGAGTAATATAACGTGTGTATTGCTTATGAAAAGGATTATAAAACCTAGCAAGTATTAGTAATAAAGAAAAAATAATCTATTAGACAAAAATTATTTAATTTATCTCAACAATTTGACTCGAGAGTTAACTGCGTACACATATTCCTTATTAGCTTGACCTACGGTGTTCCGTTTAGACAACTGTGACTTTTTATTACATTCTTACCCGCGATGTACATGTACGATGGTGAAAATGCGATGTTACGTTGGTAAAAATGCGATGTTATATCGAGTTTTTATCATTGTACCATTGTGATTTCACCATCATTCCATTGCGTTTTCACTATCTTACTATCGTGCTACCGTGTTTGCGTATTCACCATCGTTCAATCGTGCTTTTACCATCTTGCCATCACCTTTTCAACATCGTACAATCGCGTTTTAACCATCATGTCATCACATTTTAACCATCGTACCATCGCCATCCGGTCACTATAACCAGTGCATATTCAAGATTCTGATACGGCAGATAGTAATAACAAGTTTAAAATACTAACCCTTTATTTAAAGTTATAAATAATCTTCACAATAATCCTGTATATAGAATAAATACTATCTAATATATGCTTATGTTTTCTTTTTTTTCTATTGATGTATTTAGATCAACTTGAAACTTCATATGTATAGTGTACAAGGATTATAACTTTACTGCACATAATTTTTCCTTGACTGCCTTCTCTTATTCTTCATGCTTAGAATACTTTTTATTCAAAGAATGATAAAGATATCAACTTTAAACTACATAGGCGGATAGATACTCAAAAATACACATATAGAAGGAGTGCGGGGTTTAATAATGCGAACTCATTTGATGTTGAATGTAGCATTGCGCATGACCAACGGAAGAAGTATCACGATGGTGAAAATGCGATAACAGGATGGCGAAAATACAATAGTACGAAGGGAAAGGCACGTGAAAACACGATTGCACGAAAGTGCGATGGTACGATGGTGAAAACGCAATAGTACGATGGTGAAGTCGTGATTGTACGATATCACGTTTTCACTATCGTACAATCGTTCATCGCGGGTAAGGAGGGAATAAATGAGCACGATTGTCTAAATGGAACACCATATTGACATGACGATGGTAATTCAACGTCGAAACGAAACAAGCTTGAAGCTCGTCATGAGATTCATTGGTAAGTAAACCAATGTCATTTCTTTATCACAGCAGTTCAAAAATGAAAATTGCTGTGCCCTTTTCAATTGTTTTTCCTACATTCTCTTCCCACACACGTTCATTACTACCAGTACCGAAACTTGCGTGCAGACATTACAGCTACATAAATTCTATAGAAACAATGAATACGGCTTTGTTATTCACAATCTACAAAATACACATAAAAATCTTCTTTGTGATAACTATGTCTATTTACTGTTCTCACGCAATGACTGTATAGCAGGTGAACTTCAGATACTATTTATGCCATAAGGATCTCTATTTTGAGTTTGTCGCGGACGCGACACGTGCCAAAAGAAAACGAAAACATGTCATAGTAAAACCATATACCGTCTTGTTAATTCGAAGTAATTTGTAATAAATGAAAGGAATATACGGTGTCTTGAGAGCAATGTGTATGTTTACTGCCCTGTATAACTGAATATATTTGCACAGTTCTCATTTTCCACCGATAAATGCAAATTATTTGCGGGCTTTCTGAAACCATAGAAAAAAATAAAAACTCCTAATAATTGCAAAAATCAAAACATAGAAATCGGAATTATGAACGTGTGGACAATTTATGTGTTGTTAGTTTGTGAGTTTGTTTGTTTGTTTCTTTCTTTCTTTCTTTTGTCTGTACAAGAAAAGATGCGGGGTCAATTTTAGAATTTTAATATTAAAGCAGAACTGATGTTTAAACAAAGTTTATGGTGTAAGCAACACTGCTTATTTCCTTAAAGTGACATTGCATTCATAGCCAAACCTTTTAAGAACAATATGTCATCACGTTTAGTTTTAAACAAAACAATCATTTTGCATTTCTTCATTAATAATCTCAAGTAAACATATGAAAACGTTTTTAAATGATTGTTCTCAACTATATTTCTGTATTATAAAAACGTTTAAAGATATTTGTTTTAAAGTTTATTATTCAAAAAATACCTAAATGGAAATTATTCTTTATTCAAGCATAGATTTGCATGTTTATAAACATTGTTTGAGAAGGTTAAAGCGTAAAGACTTGATGTCTTAGCAAAATAAAACGTTTTATAAGACATTGAAGACTTTGATCCAGTTGTCAGCTTTAGTCGTTACTATCAACTGATTTGTAAGTCTATTAAAACACATTGCTTCTATATCTCCCAAATCCTGTCTTCTCAGTAAATCACCTCTCATCTTTACAACTTTCTTGTCTCTTCCAATATGAAGCATACCAAAATCTTTACTTTTTTCACTTTGCCCATACACAAAGAAATCATCGTTACATCCCTTGCATATTCTTCTTGGAGCAAATTCGGGCATTTCTCTGAAGTTTCTTACAACTGAAATAACATGCCCATCCACTGACAGCACTATCAGACCTTTTTCTAAATCACATACATACAATCTTTGATCACCCGAACTAAACATTATTTCTTCAAGATAATGGAAAATTCCTTTCTTTTCACTTTTAGATTTTCTACTTTTATCAGAAATACATGAAAACATGCTTGAACTGTTAGTCTTTTCAGTTAATTGCTTTTTTGCATCGGTTTTTGAATCTATTTTTTCCTTTTTGCTCAAACCTTCATTCGTTAGACTTTGTTCTTTTTTGCTCCAGATGACATGCAAAAAGTCGCCATCTTTACTAAAGACGCAAATTTGCATGGGCCAATCATATGTGAGAAATATTTGTTGCGAAGTTGAACAGTATTCAATACACATACAACCATATCCAACGTAAAGAGATTTTCCAAGTTTAAGTTCTCCGTCAACCGTTACAAACTGTACAGTCTTTTTTGTTGGTAGAGTTACTGCAACTTCGGTGTTACTTATAGCACAAACATCACAGGGTGGTCCCGGAAGATTACATGAAGACAATACTTTGAAATTGATATTCAGTTTTTTTAGATTTGCGTTGGTATGATCTGCTAATATTACTGAGCCATCAGACATTACACAACATCCTGTGATGTCACAATCAAGGTCAGTATCATCGGTTTTTATTGAGATATCATACTCATCTTGCAAGGACGTATTATACTCATAGATCCTATCGTCAACGAAATTTCCAAACGATTTGAAATCAAATTTACCGTTACAGATATCTTGATTTGGTACGAAATCTAACCTCTCTGACTCATTCTTCTTCACATGTTCCCATAATGTATCACTCTTCTCTTTCAACATTTTACCTTCGTACACAACCCTCTGAAATTCATAAACGTCATTTCCCTTAAACAGTTCAACTTCTCTCATTTTATTGTCCCATTTATGCGACATTTCCTGTATGTATTTAACTTCGTTTCTGATCCTATCCTCTGATCTCTGTGATCTGATATCAAGTTCTCTCAGCGATTCCTTTTCAATTCTATCAAGCTGCTTATTCAAGTTTCCCCTGATGTCTTTAATTGTGTTTTTAATTTTAGTTTTATCCTTCTTCAATTCATCAATGTCTGCGATTCTCTTTGCCTCAACAGTTGATAGATTAGCTTTAGATTTCTCATATAAGTCTATCAGGTTTTGGACTTCTTGATAAATGCAAAATTTTACTCTGAAAATACAATAGAAAATTCTGCATAGTTTATTGTATCATTAAAGCGTATTTTATTTAATGAACATACTTTTAAATCTCAGCAGTTAAATAAACGAACGGAAAAAATAGAATATTGAGTGAGATCATCAGTACTCTCCATTCCAGATAAAGATTCTACAAAGGCAAATTGATATTTATTCAATGCAATATATAGTGCCAGAAATAATTTTATTCTGTAAACTATTCTCTTGCAATACTAGATATTAGTGTGATCTGCTACCGATAAGTTACGTATGTTCTCTCAATCATAAACTAAACAGTGTAGAACTTTTAAAAAAGCAAACATGTTAATTGTCATGAAAGGTTTGAAAATGTTGATGATAAATGGTACCGTTTGTTTGCCTGTGGCTCACTACCTCTGTATTTCATGTACGTGTCCGGACATGAACATTCTTTACCCGTGCTTGAACAGTTCCCAGATATTGCTTGTATAACATGAGTTCCGAGCACCTCAAACTTCTCGTGTTGCCGTTTACACTGCCAGCATATAAAAGCTCCAGTTTGCCCACAATCCCTGCAGTAGTTTGTTGCTATTTGATACTTCTGTTGCCGTGAACATGGGTGACAGAAATATATAAATGGATTTTCAGAAGTCATTTTTATTTCATTAAATAATTACAATGGAAGAATATGTCCAAAATATCGTAGATCCTATCATCTGATGTTTTTATTGATATAAATTCATTTCCCAAAAATATCACAGTCCGCAATAATCAATATAGTTTAAGTATTTTAAATATTATGTCTACAAGACCTACTACCTTTAAACAGTTCTGCATAAAAGTTTAAAAAGAAAATAATAAATTAAAGCAGTGTATTCATGTAAGAAATAGTAAATTGACATAAATTATTATTAGTCGGAAGCCAATCTAAGGCATGCGTTGCTTTCGTTATCTGTATTGCAAACGAAAGTGTTCATTATTTTAACTTTAGGCATTACATCAATCAGATGTAAAGAAAACTGAAATACAATTACAAGTCTAATACGGTTCGCATTATGCACTAAACAAAATGTAGATCTACATTTTTTATATGTGTAGTAATGTTATGCGTCATTCGACATTAGATATGACCAAATATCACTAATAAATCATCTATCACGAGTTATACATTAATTTTAAAAAAAATAAAACTATAACGATCTATTTACAATGTTATGAGTTGATTTTGGCAACTTATTTATGCATCATAATGTCTTATCTTCTAAAACATTCGAAGCTGGCTTGATTATTGTAAATTTTAAATCATTATAAATGAGTGTTACTGAACCTCCCGTTGTGCATTGGTTAAAGACAATACGCCCCAGGATTTACGTCTCAGACAGGATTGTCTACCTTTGACACCGGTGCTATACACCCCAATGTGCTTAAAATGACGTCATCATCGCGCGCCTTTTATGAATGAATTGCATTCTTATGATGATGTCATTTTACTGTTATGAATGAAGTTGTAAGTTCATACGCTACTTTAAGAAAACAGTGCGTAATGAGAATATCATTTCTCGTAATTTCTGTTCTGAAAATAATTGATATGTAATATGCAAGAAAAAGAATCAAACACCGGCTGTCGGTACAGACGGGAATATCTAGCTCTCTGGTAACTGTTAAGCGGAAACTCGACAGAGCCTCGTTACCGCCGTAAACAGTTACCCTCGCGCAAGATATTCCGGTCTGTACCGGAAGCCAGTGTAAGAATCTTATAGTATTTTATGTGAGACAATTAGCAACTTCTTCAAGAGACCAAGACTAAGATAACATGGATAAGAATAGTTAGTACTTTCAAACCAGTAATGATATTTCACTAGAAAAATTATGTTATTAGTCAAAATGTTCTGATGATAGATCTAAACCAGAACTTGTTTTATCACGTAGATCTACTTCAGAAAAGAACTTAACTTAAAATAAAAGTTAGTCGCGGATTTTACTAAGCACCAACAACCCTTATAGAGAGATATTTTCTAATAGATCTTTCGTCGTAAAGTGAATCCAAATTTGATGAGGGGCTATTTTCGAAGTAACATTTCGATAATGACATTTACAATTAAGGTTAAAGTCAAGCGTTTGCCATTGGCATTAACATTAGTGCATCATTTATCGAAAAGAAACCATACCCTGCATTGTTACTTATTACAATACAAGCGATTAAACTTTGTATTATCACAATGTTTTACGACCCCCTGGAAATTAGTACATCTCATAACGCAAATTAAAAAAGATTATTGTAAACTACATGTGTATTAGCATTTTGCCTGTCGTCAATATCGAATTCAATGGAACAAGTTATTTAAAGTTGAGTCTCGTGCAGGTTGTACTTTAACGATGTTCTTATATACTGACGTCAAGGAGACTATCAGCTTCTCAGATACATAGTCAAATGACTCTCAAATGGTTCCCGTTGCCATCATTTTGATCACAGTTAATGAGAGCTCTGATGAAATTGAGCATGCTTTTCACTGTTTAGAGCATATACAATACATAAATCTATTAATTTAACTGCTCTATTTCAAAAGATAACTAAACAATGCATCATACACCGGGAATAAGCTTGCACTTTAACTAAGAGATAATAAACCCCCAGTTAAATACCTCCACGTCACCCCACCCCTTACATTGTGCTTTACACAAATCCATCGCATTTCGTGGGCAGACTTAAGACAAACGCGTTTTCCTCATTATTCCTAGGGGACGTAGTACATGATGGCAAATTAAATTATATGAGAAACTTGCTTTAAGCCCACTAATCATTTAATAGCAGATGAAAATTTGATCATTAAATTTACTGACAGGTCACATTGAAATGTCATTTATTGATACTATCATCTCAATTCCCTATAACAATTACCCATGTCTAATTAGTTCACAGGTTTATCAATTACATCATTGTTCAAAACTTTAAAATTACAATACTAGTATCTGATCTATTCTAGCTGACTTGTTTTATACAATGGAAGGTTTGATATGTGTCGGCAAGGTACAAACATTTGATACACGAATAACACACATGATTGTCACTACACTGAAGTTATGGTAGGTAGACATGCAAACAAGAATATCTAGTTTAAATGTTCGTCTGATCGTACAGTATTCATGTAGCTTGTATTGTTATTATATCTGAATTATCGTCAATGCATATCAAGGATAAAGTCAAAGGTTATGATTTTGCAGCATTAGAGTACAGGTTTAAGCTGAAATTAATAAAAGATAAGATATTGTTTTATATTTTGGGGTCATCAATCTAATAAATAAATAAAAGGTATCAATATCTTAATTTATTAATTTAAACTATGCATCCAGGTCATACGTATTTAATAAAAGTATTATTCTTAATGCGGGTAAATGAGCAAGTCAAACATGAAATAAGAGCGCTTCAGACGGGTTGGATACACGCGTGAAACGTTTTAAATACCACTTGTCTATAAATTGCAAAAACTTTATATATACATATTATTATATCCGATTATACATAGCATATATACTATTGTAGTTGTTACTGTGTTGAGAGGTTTATTTTATTAATGATACAATATGATTCATAAATTTGGTGTTAGTTTAACATGTCTTTGAATATCTGGCTTTGCTGTATATCAGTCGTTTGTATACATATCTAAAGATTAATGTTGGATTCTGCACAATAATTTTAAACTGATTCATAAAGAGCTGGTAACTGCTGGACATGTATGAACTGAAACAGAGATTCGACATTAATCAGAATAGAAAGAAATGTGTGTTGCAAAAGGGTAGAATTCACGACTTTAGTCCTAAGACTTAACTCCTTCACTAGGTGATTTGTCAGCGCTTTGATAATGCTACTGCTACAGGTTATGAATTCACGAATTTTAAAACAGTTAAAACGTGACATTAATTTGATATAAACAGAGAAATTATCTTAGTACATGAACATAAAGAACATTAATTTCATTTATTACATGCGCGGATCTAGTGTAGAGCAGAAAAAATGCGAAGGTTTTATTACATGCCAAACCATGCAAGGATGAAAAACTGTATACAAGGATAATATTCAGTTCGATGAATGCTAATGTTGACTGTTTTCATGTGTATGTAAAAGTTCACGTTTTCGATGGTATGACATCGTCTGTGAAAAGTGCATTTAACCGTTTAACAGTATACTGGATCAAGTACAATAAACTCCGCTTAAAATGACATCGGTTATAACGATAGACCGCTTATAACGATGCTGTTGCTGCATTCCCGACTCGATACGCACAGAAGTTTACACTCTTGGATCCTTTCATGTGAGAAAACTATGTAGCTGGCTTACGGAACGTCGGTGTCTTACACAGATGCTCGTTCGTGCCTGTAATAATGCACAGAAGGGCACCTGAGGTATTCCTCAACCAATAAAACTGGAATATCGCCATATGACATATATTGTGTCGGTGTGACGTAAAACAAAAGCAAACAAACAACCGATATCTGACAAACGGATATAACGGGTTTTTCTGTCCCATGAGCAATCGTTCACTTTAAATGCGATATTTTGTACTTTGTTAGATGTTATATTAACAGCTGCTAGCCAGAGATTTAGCTTTAAGCGTTTATGACTTACGATAAATCGCTCAAATTGTTGGACTAAATAAGCGAACTCAATCATTTGAATACATTTTTGTGAGCAATTAATTGGTTGAGTAACTACTCAGGTTTGCGTTATTATGCATTTGTAATGGTTTGGATATATCAACAAAAAATCAAATGATATTTGAAATGACACTGCCGTTCGTGGCTTTAAATTGTCTAACGTTAATTTATGAATATGAAAAAGAAATTGTTGAAATAAAATCATATATATACTTGTAACGTAGTATTATGACATGTATAATGATATCGCACAATCTGTACTAGTCAAGTTACATTATTATGTACTAAAACTTGCTTTTTAAATAATATATTCGTGAAAATTTGTACAAAATCATAATTAAAAGAAATATCAAAATAACTAATAATTTATATTATCATTATGATCTACGATTTTCACAAACGCTAAGATATTTACTATTTATTTCACGCTTTATAAAATATAACCAATGCACTCTCAGCATTTGCACCACGTAGAGTTCCGGTAAAAAAACATGATAGGACCCCGTCTTATCAATTTAGCCTCGTTTTCATAACCAGAGTGCAAAAAAGTCCATATCAAATCTATATCACACCCCGGCAGCCTTGATTTCATTTCCAGAGTCCAAAATGTACATATCAAATCCAAATCACACCCCATATAGCTTCGTTTCATTTCCAGAGCCCAAAGTTTCACATCATATCCATATCGCACCTATTAAGCCTCTTTTACAATTTTTAAGAGTTCAAAATCCATATCAAATCCTAGCTAGCGCCTCGTCCAATATAGTTTTGACAGCTGTCACTACTTGTCCATTATACTCAAAAATGTATGATAACTTCATAAGTTAGAAAAACTATTATTGTAGTTGCCCAACTTTATATTATTCTATTTTATAAATAGGTTAAAATGTCAAAAATATTAACCCACTGGTATGGAAATGAAAGATTGTCCTATGGTAAAGTTACTTTTGAAAGGGTACTCGTAAAAATCTATATATCTGCTGCAAAAGAAATATTGTTTTACTTTTTTTAAAAGAATATCTCCAAAATGCTTGAATAAAGAAATATGGTTGTAAATTGCCTTAAAAGAGAATGGTGCAGGCACAAAATATTTGCTTTGCGATTAAAATCCTCCTTAAAAAACAGCATATTAATATTTTGTTCGGAACGTTATATTCTGGATACGTACAAGTTTCATTTGTGTTACCAAGACATTGTGTAATATAACTTGTTCGAGTATAGACCATAAAATTATGGAAACAATATGATTTTACTGTTGATGAATTTTATAAAAGTTCTCCGGACAGAAGATATAACTTTATACCCTTTAAAACCAGCACTAAATTTTGTTTATTTTGAGTTATTTACTGGATTTTAATATATCTTTAAATGTTACTCATGAAATAAAGTTGAAGAATGTAGTTATAATTATAAATAAAACTGACCTTGTATTTTCTTTTCGTTTCTCTATTGTTAAAATCACATTCCTAGAATATGTATAACTATTATTTCTTTAAAAGATGACGAGATAGTAAATTAAAATATGTTAATAAACATCGCATAATAAGACGCTTAAATTGCGATTGAGTATCAAGTTACTACGTAAGAATTTGTGAAATAAGGAAAAACTAAATCAGTAAGCATGATACAAATATACACCTATATAAAATGCTAAAATTCCTTTCTCATAAAATGATATACCTTTTATGCTTTATAATCAAACTCAATTGTTACCTTATAATGTAAACGACACTCGACATTGCTAAAGCATGATAGTGGTGAGGACTGCAACCACTTTAATAAAAAGATATTCAAATCGTCTTTATTAACATAATGTTGACACTTAAAAGCGAAACATCGTCCGGTTTTGGAAGATTCCCTAAAGAAACAAAACGGCCAAATTGAAAAGTGTTGAAGCTTCTGTTTAATGGGGGAAACTGGAAAGTGCAAGCTGCCGTGCACGCCCCCTTTAACATGGTACATTTGATAAATAATCAGATGTGTTCATACGGCGGTTATAACGGAACCTTCAATGTGACATGTTCGTGACATTCCATGAAAAGAGACGTAAGGACCCCAAGTAAATACATGTTTGTGCATCATGGTCCAGTGGTTAATGTGTCAGAGAAGTAATCTATGAATCGACAGCGGTGTGAGTTGAAACCCAAGCTGTAATTTCATTAAGCCAGAAACTTAACACTCATTTGACATGGGTATTTTTGCTCCCCGAAGGGTGAGCATATAGTCGCCGCTTTGTCCGTCCGTCCGTCTGTCTGTCCGTCCGTCCGCTTTTCGTGTCGTGGACATAACTTTGAAATAACAAGAGGTATCAACATGAAACTTTTCAGGTAGATAGATTTTGAGTAGGTTTGCAGTGCACAAGAACTGTAACTTGCCTTATTTTTGAATTATTGCCCTTTGTTTATTTTTACAATTTGAACTTTGTCCGGGACATAACACTAAACCTATATAAAGTTTCCTTTTAAAAGGAAAGGCTTGCACAGTTGTGCCTTCATCCCAACCCTTTAAAATTGTGTTTTTTTTTTTTGGTTTCAATTAACCTCTTAATTAACTAGTTAGGTATCAGGTTAACTAGTTACGTAACTAGTTAACCTCTTAATTAACTAGTTAGGTATCAGGTTAACTAGTTGCGTAACTAGTTAACCTCTTAATTAACTTGTTAGGTATCAGGTAACTAGTTAACCTCTTAATTAACTAGTTAGACTTCAGGTTATCTTGTGGCAGAAATACGCCACCATAATTCTCTATTGTATAAAACTAATAAAGAAAATGATCAATCGTAAAAATACTAACGTGATACTGAATGAAAACAAGTGTGCACATTTCATTTCCCCTTTTTCGCAGCGAAATCATTCCTTTGCTTTATAGACAAGTAAATGCACTAAAATACTTCGTTACGTGGTACCAATTAATAAGCATGTATCAACTATGTTACACGATGCGCTATCTGTAGATCAGCACGTGGCAAGGTTAATGATATGCATGGGATATTTTTAGATTACCTGCGTTCAGTAGATCTAAATATAACTCGATCATGCGTGATTTGGTAAGCAGGACCACCCTTTGAAGACGGAATACTAGTACAGTGTATAAAACTAATACAGACAAAAAACAATTATAAAAGAAACTAACTTTTGCGTCTTGAAAAACAATTGAAACGGAACAATTTCGTTTATAATTTATTACGGTTTAAACCGATTAATCAAGTAAACATAGAAATCCTATTTATATAAACAAACTGGGATTACCGAAGTAACTAAAATAGCTTAGATTTCCGTAATATTACTTCGTCTGATTCCGCAGTATGACGGAATCGCCCGAATTGTCACGATTGCAATCGGAACTATATCGGCTATTATCATTAATCCGAAGAGTGACGGAAAAGGCCGAAAAGTTGCGATAGGCACGATTGCAGCTGGTTTCCCGTTCAATCATGCACCAACAGATGTAAGCAGGAAACCACCTAACCGGAACAAGTTTTCCAAATGAAATGGCTTGCTGCAAGCCAAAAAGGTATCAACATGAAACTTTGTAGGTAGATAGATCTCATTGAGTAGGTTTGCAATTTACAAGAACCGTAACTCATTCATGCCTAATTTTTGAATTATTGCCCTTTGTTTATTTTTACACTTTGAACTTTGTCCGGAAAAAACTCTTTTGTATAAGAGATATCAACATGAAACTTTGTAGATAGATAGATCTCATTAAGTAGAAGAGCATTGTTCAAGAACATTAACTCTGTCTTGCCTAATTTTGGAGTTATTGCCCTTTGTTCATTTTGACGCTTTGAACTTTGTCCGGGACATTACTCTAAAGTTATAAAAGATATCAACATGAAACTTTGTAGGCAGATAGGTCTCATTGGGTAGAAGTGCAGTTCTAAAGAACCATAACTCTGCCTTGCCTTGTTTTGAAGTTATTGCCCTTTGTTTATATTTACTTTTTGACATTTGTCCGGGACATAACTCTAAAACTTTTAGAGATATCAACATGAAACTTTGAAGGTAGATAGATCTCATTGGATAGAACTGCAATGCTAAAGAACCTAAACACAGCCTTGTCTAATTTTGGAGTTATTGCCCTTTCTTAATTTTTACTCTTTGAATTTTACCCGGGACTTAACTCTGAAACTATAAGAAATATTGTCTCGGAACTTTATGGATAAATAGATCTTATTGAATAGAAGTGCAGTGCAAAAAAAAAACATAACTCTGCCTTGCCTAATTTTTTAGTTTTTGCCCTTCGTTCATTTTTTTATATACTTTCCTGTGTCCAAAACCTTCTCGGGGAGCATCTACCGGTTCAACCGGTTCTTGTTTTATTAGTTGCTCTTTTTCCAAATGCTTTCTTATTTGATGATGTTGATGACATCCAGGAGAATAGCTGAGGTTGATAAGGAGTTGTTATGTAATAGAAAGAGCATCGAAACACAGAATATCTAATTTATACGAGGGGGCGCAGATTGCTGAGTATTTTGATTTGATTTGATTTTCTTTAGACCGATTTGATTTGATTTTCTTTAGACCGGCCGGTCAAGGATAGCCTTCGAAAGTGCAAGCACTTATTTCCAGTAGGGTCGTGACTCACCTCAGCAGACACTATAGACAGGTATGAGATACAAGGAAATCCGGGAACCAGTCCCTAGCTCTTATTGAATATATCCCTTGGTTCTTTTACATGTCCAGTGTATAGCACTGATACATGCGAGGATTACCTGGGTTTCGTACAAGTAAACCTCTTAGTAGGTGGGAAACACTGAGGGTGTTTCTGAAAAATCCTAAGGGTTTTACCCAGGATCGAACCCGGAACTTCAGGAGTGACAGTCAGACTAACCAACTGAGCTATCGCGCCAATGATGTTCTTTCCTTTTTGTATCATAGTCAAAAATAAAGACACGTTCCCTGCTGTCACAATATGAAACCCCAGAAAAAGGTAACCAATGAACGAGCATCTGAATGTGATATTTCTGTGGCTATCTCTTTCTCTGTCGTCACAATAGGTAAACCCCAGAAATAATGAGCCAATCTATCTATCTTGTATGCTCTGGTGTGCGGGTAACTTATACCTATACTCCAGTTAACGCACATTTCAGCAGAAAGGTCCCCGACCTGTGATACAATACATTTTTAATGTTTGCGTCCGAAAATATGGTCATCGTTCCTGTCAGCGACCGAAACTGTACTTCTTTTTAATCAGAAATAATTGTTTAAATGAATCATAATACTTGCATTTAAAGACCGGCTTTTAAATTTTCAGGATTTAAAAAATTATAAGTTTAATCAAATTGTATTGAAAATATTGAGCATCGAGATTTTCTGATACATAACAACTTCGTTATATAGAAGCTCATTAAACTTAATAAAGATATGAATAAGTTCACTTCCCTTTTCACTTCCTATTTTTCTTAAAATTAGACATTTAGAAATTGCTAGGCGGAGCTTAACTTTCAAGGCGGAGCTTACCTTTTTTTAAAATTCAGCCTCTATATACACCCTGTATCATATATTTCGGACGATTTAGCTGACGAGCTCCATTTGATGTATTAAGAAAACTGTAAGAAATAAAGACAAATTTTAAGCTATGAAAGGTTTATATATTCTTAACTTCATTTTCCTTGTCAGCATTTTAACTGTCAGGACGGTTGATACAAAACTTGGAAAAATTGGAAATGTTTTGTCGACAGTAACAGACGTGATTTCTTTCGGATTGGATTTGTATTCGTTTTTCGACTCTTTATTTGAAGAAAGTGAAGAATCAATTGATTATGACAGAATAATAGATAGTATCTCAGAGAGAATAGAAATATCAACGGAAAAAATTATTGATAAAATTGAATTGCAGTCATATATTGCAGAACTGCGTGATATTGCTTTAATCATTAAACAGTTGCTGTCAGAAGTTATGAATATTTTGCAAAAATCAGGCCATGATCAAGCAAATGAATATCGGAAACGATTTGTAGATGACTTCAAGAACAACAGAGTCAAAATCTACAAAATTAAAAGTTTGTTAACATTCACAGTAAGCTTTGGTGGGAGTTCTAATTCATTGCTAAGTGTCATTGTGAAACAATACGATTGTAGTATACCGAAGTTTTGGGAGTTCAAAACCTATTATATGACTTTGGTATCAGATGCTGTTGCAATGGATCTTTTATACGAAAAGTTCTCATACAGCAATCTTGACTATGAGACTATGACATCATGGCACCAAACTATTGATGGTCTTTTCAGAGACTTTAAGGAACAGGAAGATGCGTGTGTGAAAGTGTCACTCGCGCAAGCGAAGACAGATTTTGAAAACACGGCAAAAGCAGAAGAACTTTATGAAAGTAATCATCGTAAATATCCCCATCTGATTTCTGACATTCTTCATTTAGGCGGAAGTTACTGTGCTCTTGTTCTTAAAGGATATGATGAACTTTTCAAAAAGTCAAATGGCAATACAAGAACATTTCAATTTATAAGTAGCGAAGAAAATTATATCAACTATAACCAAGAGCAACTACAGAGGGTAGCATCGACGGTGCAGTTTGACAACTGTAAGAGTATTCTTGAGAATATCTGGATAATCTTTGACGCTTCAAAACTCGATCTCGTTCTTTGGGTGATGTACCCTACAAGTCCTGCAGCATATACAGACATATTACTCGACAAAAGTGAGTTGATACTTGCATTTATATTTATACTGTTATAAGTATGAAATAAAGTGCACAGAAAAAAAATAAGGTGAATGTATTAAAATAAGAATAAACTCATTTCCTAAATGACACTGGTTGAATTTTTAAAAAAAAATTATTATTCTGTAAGAAAAAAAGACATATTCCTATTTTGTCAATATTATTTTATAAGACGTATGTAAGAGACGCCAATAGAGTCGTGCCAGATTTTAAGTTTTGGCGGGCTAATAATTATTTAGTCTCAGTTTCACTGCTTGAATAATGGAAATCATTTAGATTGAAATTTGAAGTTGATTGAAATACACAGACCTTTTTCCTACATTTAATATTATGCAATGGGTCGAGCTGAAGGTAACATACGTATAATCTATGTATATATAAATAATGAATGAATTAAGATAAAGCTACAGTCTCACTGACATCCTGGCAGAGCCCCGGTAGACGTCCGGGGTGATCCGGGAACAACCTGGGTACATACGTAACTCTGCGACAACGTCCGGGATGATCCGGGAACATCCTGAATTCGACCCCGGATGGAATAAAATATTTAATATCAACGGCGTGGTCCGGGATGATCCGGGAAGTAAAGCTTTGCCGGCTTCATCCTTAGCTCTGCATGGAACGACCGGGGTTACACTGGGGAAGCACCGTAGCTCTGCGGGGATGATCCGGGGTATGATATAGCCGGTAGAGCCCGTTGAATGCTGGCAGAGCCCCGTTGTATGTCGGCAGAGCCCCGGAGGATGACGAAGGAGCTTCGTTTGATCCCGGTAGAGCCCCGGCAAAGCCCGGTTCATAAACAAAAATCACGACAATTTGCGATGATTGAACTTGTTTGTATTAAAACCCTTTTCTTTTCCCTTCTAGCCAGTCTTGCATAAGGATTTTTCAGAAAACCATCATGAATTACTGTTCTGGAACAATAGATATTATATTAAATAATAATTATGTATCAATGGAATCATTTTCGCGCGTTTTCAATCCACAGGGATTCTACCGGGGCTCTGTCTGGATCGTCCTGGGCTCTGCCTGGATCGACAGGGGCTGTGCCTGGGTCAACCGGGGCTCTTGCGGCGTCATCCGGAACGACCGAGGAAGCCCCGGCATGAACCGTAGCTTCACCTTGGCTCTGCCTGGATGGTCCGGAGCACATCCTGGGTGGTTAGTTGGGATACCCTTGTGCTACGGGAGTGTGACGAAATTTAAATATCCCGGTAAATTCTGGGGTGGGGCCTGGGGTCTGCCCGGGGAAAAAGTGAACCCCACTAAAGTTTCCCCCGATTTTTTATGACTTTTTTTAGGTTTAGCTGTGGAGAATATGTTAAACCTTTACCTAAAGTGTCACGTCTTCTACTTATTAAATTTCGCATACCTTTATCATTTTGAATAGATGCTACAGTTAATATGTTGTCATATATGCTTATAACTCTTTTTAGGTTAAATTTATAGTCAAATTTACATGCATTGTGCTATAATAACAGTTTTATTTTCTTTGAAGATTCAAGTGCACACGTGATAACCAGCAGATCACATAAGATCGTGACCTATTTACGGGATCAAGATGATACCAAGGAGACCGTGTTAACACAAAACGACTTTGATGAATATTTCTATATCGGATCTGGCACGGACAAGTTAGATGGAATGAAAGTCTGGGGACCAGGCCTTATCATTACTAGTTCAATCGCTATAATAGCCATTTTATGCTGATCATTTTATTTTAACGTATACATTTATATACAAACTATGTTCAATGTCTACGTCAATAAATGCATTTATAAAATTTGTTCCAAGTTTGCAGTGTGCAGACAAGACTACTGGTAGAGATATATTGAAGTTAGATTGCAAAATGAAACAATCAGAAAATAATTTGTCAGTTTTGATGTGATATCTCTGGATTTATTTTAACCTATGTATACGTAAAATTCTAGCATACCTCGTGATTTTATTACTATACACATAAAAGCTGCGTTTACACTGGTTAGGAACTTAGATGTTATTACATATCCGGCTGTCCTTTATTCGTTTATGTTCTCAATTCAATAAGATTTGATAGATAAAGCCTTTTAGGACAACAATTATAACGTATTTTATTGATATTTTCTGTTCTTATAAAATGTTGTTTTTTTTCATATGATGCTTAATTAACATCTCGCATGCACTAACGCCTTATTTATGTTAGATTAGAAAAAAATATACAGCAATTCAAAAAATATACGGCAATTCGTAAGCAGCGAAATGATGTCATCCTGAGGATAAAGGCGCCAGAGCTACGTCATTTTAAGTATAGGTTAAAGTTTATATAGAGGATATTTGTGTTTTAGATGAAAATTTATTTCATCGTGTGGGCTTTAAAAACAGTATTCTCACGATTGGAATAGCCACGAGTAAGAATACTGTTTTTAAAGTTCACGAGATGAAATAAAAAACATCTTACACAACAAACAAACAAATTTTCTTTTAATTTTATTCTTAAAAACAAGTTAAAGCGAAATCTCCTTAATATTAACGTTAATATTGAAATCTTTTTTCCCAATTGAGAGCCTCATTTTTAGTCGAATTTCTCATTAAATACAAGAAGTTTTGGGCTGAAAAATAAGTTCGACCATCAACGTTTAATGGCGGTGATATTATTCATTTTATTAAAATAATATGAATGATCGCTTGTTTTAATTATAAAAACAAATAATTCTAGTAGGAGAAAAAGTCCAACCATCCATCCATATTTCTGTTTACTTACTGCGAATTTATATTAGACCTGTCTTTGTTAAATGTAAGCGGCCGCCATTCTTACTGCGAATTTATATTAGACCTTTCTTTGTTAAATGTAAGCGGCCGCCATTATTAAAAGTTGTGTATTTCACGGGAGGAAAATAATTGTGTTTGATTCAGAGGGATATCATTTAGATTTGTTAGTCATACACCTTTTTAAAAGAAAAAAGACTTATTTGAGAATTGTAACAGACAATAAATAAGTGTTGACAGAAGTGTTAACATTCAAAAAGCGGCTAGGAAATTGGAAAACTTGGAAAGTTGAAAGGCTGCCTAACGACGCTGGGTTGTTTACTTATTCTTCGGGCTGATGGCTGTCATTGCTTTTCAAGTTTTCATAAAGCATACTGCAGTTATTGCTCGTAGGATACTTAAATATGCCCAAATATCATCAAGAGCAGTTTTGCATGTGGAAGGAATGTATTCTTCAGACTGTATAATTAAACAAAAGAGATGATATTTAATGATTGGTAATTTGAATGAGTAGAAGTAAGTTTTCCTCTTTTTATTACTTTTGACATTTAAGTTATTTATCAATTTTTAGAAATTTCAGCAAAAATAAAATTATGGTTCCACATGGGGAAAATCTTAAGAAAGTAGTTACGTCATTGAAAAGTGTGAAATTATATTTTGATAATGAAATTATTAAATATAATTTTCACGGATTAATCAGTAATCCACTGAAAAGCATAAAATAATCGTATTTACTGTGCCGCGCCTGACCAATTTATTTTTGTAAAAACGTTCTAATAATTTTCACGGATTAATCAGTAATCAACTGAAAAGCATAAAATAATAGTACTTATTTACTGTGTCGCGCCTGACCAATTATTTTTTGTAAATACGTTCAAATAAATTTTAACCAGCTTCGTGTTTTGAATTATTTTTGTACTCTTTTATGGAAGGTTGAATTGACCCCCCGAGATGTCGTGGTCCGTGATAATTTATATGTGGTCAAGTTGACATATATTACTGCGACATGGAGTGTTTTATCATGGTTTTGATAGAAAAAAAATAGAATCTTGACAACACCTGTATCCGGGCATGTCGACATAACTTTTGTCTATTTTAAAACAGGACGGGAACCATTTGAACGTCATTATTATTATTCGAAAACTAAATCACTCCCATCGAGTAATGACTGATGTATAGTATAACTATATCGTTGATTTTATTTATAAACTGAATATTTAGAATCGCCCATTATTAAGAAATCAATTTCGGTTATATTAAAAATGAATCAGACTGATGTTTAATTTGATATGAATGTGTCAATTAATAAAATAGATAAATACAGAATCCCTAAAGAAAGCCCAACACGGCAAAATTGAAAATGTTGCAGGCTCGGTTTGATTAAGTTGATTTTTTACAATACAAGCTGTGCATTTCGTTCAATAACCTTACTGGATATAAAAAAAAGTTAAATAGCTTAAATATCGTTTCGCCGAACACTTTTGAAGATAAACATAACAATTAGTTTTATGCATATACTCACATTCCAATGTATTTTGTAAGGAAAACCCATGACCACCGGGGCGGGGCTAATTTTGACACTAGAGGCTTTGGAAGAGAACCTATAGATGATTTCATACATCAAAGTTCTAAGCCTTGTACCTTCAGACAATAAGATTTTTTTTATTTTTTCTATATGTACATAGTGAAAATCAATGACCCCTGGGGCAGGGCAAATTTTGACCCCATGGCTAATATTTGAACAAGGTTAGCTTTTAAAACAGCTAGTAGCGACTCGCTTCGTAATTTTTTTCCAGGGGTGTGTTTAAATGTAAAAATGACAGTTCTGTTAGCTGAAGAGACTTCAGCGAACATCAAAATAAAAGTGACATATAAAGTTATGGAAGCCAGTTCTCTCAGTTTAACAAAGAGGAATATGAGTATATATGAAGATGCTTGTAAACAGATGGAATGAAATCCCTATGTCTATGCACATTTACTATATGGCCTGTTGTCCTTGACCAAAAAAATGTTAGATAGGTAGAATTCATAATAGATAGGTAGAATTCATAAAGATGTCTCTTTATACGAAGTTAAGTTGTAATATGTTATTTAGTATTGGAATGAGTGACAGACACAAGTCTTTTACAGGAATATATTACTGAAGAACTCTATTGGATGTGGGCGAATTTAGATTCATGGGGCATGATTAACATTTGATTTGTACAAGTTTTCAAGGCATTGGTACAAATTCAGTATTAAAGCTGGAGGCATTGAAGTTTATATCAATAAGACTTAAACATATTTTCCCTAAGCATTTTAATAAAAATTATGTCCACTTCATCTTGGTATGTGAAACATTTAAAACAAAAAGACATGATGTAGATACATGGACAAAATTTTAAAGTGATCAACAAGGCAATACCACATGCCAAATATTGAAGGTTTAAGCATTAATAAGGTATAAAGATGTGCGTATGTGTTTCTAAATAAGACGTGTCCTTGACCTATGTGTAGAACAATATGAACAACTATGAAAGAGAACTCCTGTAGTGTGGTTAATGTGCAGTCTTTTGCTTCATAGATATCATTTAAAGAGAAACTAAATTACACATTAGGGACAACAGATGAATAGGGATCCCAATTCCTGTTTATGCTCACCAGAGCACAACTTGCTCATAGTCAGCATAAAAGGGAATTATATTGTAAGAGAGCTTGGTATAATGACCATCTCCTGTACAAAGATTCAACGACAATAATCACCACAAATATAGTTTATTCCTTTTCCTTATATATCTAATACTATCCCGGATCCCGGGCGTCCTTGATCCCGGGATTTCCCCCACCCTAAATACCGGAAAGGATAAAATGACCGGAAAAAAAAAGAAGAAAAAAATGCCCAGAACCAGATGTACACTTATGTTAATTAACCAAACGAAAACTTACTACAGAGAAAACAGGTGAAATCGCTAAATTAAAAGTCAGTGCAAATATGATTTATTGAAAAGAATTCATGAAAACAAACATTTTAATCATCATTATATCTTTGCGCTCAAAGCAATACTTGCTGCTTTTTAAAAATGGCTTGAAAATTGCAGGTTTTTTGACGCTATGTAAGATTAAATTTGATTGGCTAAATAATTTTGGATTCCAGCCCTAACATATCAATTTTGTAGAAAGCTGGAAGCCAAGCTTCGATTAAATTTTTGGATGGATTCGGAGTTTAAGGTTGTTTCTCAGTAAAATCCTAACGTAATACCGGCTCGCCGTGGCGAGCCAGCAAAATCTTACTAGAAATTCACTACACAATGTTTAATGCAAAATATCTTACCTCTAGCCTTTGTCAATTTAGAAAAGATGATTTTTTAAGTTTTTACTATATACATATAAGGAAAAATTATGACCCCCGGGGCGGGGCTAATTTTACGCTGCAGGTAAAATTTGAAAAATGTTGGTAGAGTACCTATATGTGATATCATAGACCAAATATCAAAGCTCAAAGCCTTGTACCTTCAGACGAGAAGGTACATATTTTAAGTTTTAACTATATGTACATATAGTGAAAATCAGTGACCCTCGGGACGGGGCCAATTTTGACCCCAGGTTTATAATTTGAACAATCTTGGTAGATGTATACCCGACAATGCCTTATGCAAAATATCTATGCTCTAGGCCTTGTGGGTCTTTACAAGATTTTTTTTTTAAATTATTCTTATAAATCCTTTTGGTTGCCATGGCAACCAGATTTCTGCATGGAATGAAATTCTTGGATTAACTTTTGAAATACTTCACCAAATGATTAATTCTGCCAAGTTTGGTTGAAATCGGACTAGTGGTTTTTTACAAGATTTTTAAGTATATAATCTATATAACACACATACAAACACACACACAGGTGAATCGCTATATGCCACCGCATCGCAGATGATGCGGTGGCATAAAAAACGTATTGCTATGCATTTACTACAGAAAAGATATCCGGATACCAGTGAAAGGACTTTTCAGTTTACAGCCAAATTTACTGTTCTGTTAATTATTATATTTATAACATTATGACCGTATATCGGTTAGGTATATCAACAATGTGCATGGCAGTAAAATCCAAAGGGACCCAATAACACGGAACTTTTCAATGTTAATATTTGTCTCCTTTCAGAATTTGCATGTTTGCATCTTTTTGAGTGTCATGCTTCAGTTCGTCAAGTCTGCAATGAGTTATGTTTTAAAACGTTTATAACTTTGTGCACATGTAAGTCCAGGCTGTCTAGTTGAAACATGTCTTTCAGTGGCTGTCTGGACAGTTAGTCTGATGGGTATTTGTTTACCACTAACATGTTTAACGTCAAGGTCATACTTAGACAATTGTAATCTCATTCTTTGAAGTCTAGGAGATTATGCCGATAAGCTTTACCGCATGATTGAGCCTAAAGGTTTACATCCGAGTGAACAGTTATGTGTC